GGTTTGGAGACTTTCCCCCATGCTCAGGCACGGGGACAACAGGCCCTTCCTTCTGACCGACCACAGGGCTCCCCAGGCTTTCCATACATGCCTGGGGCTCCTACAGCAGTGATGCTCTCCCAAACCTCTCTGTGAGCAGGACAGCCAGAGGATGATGAAGATGCAGGACCAGCTGCCTGGGAAGCCACACAGGGCTGTTTCAGGGACAGCCAGAGGGGACAGCTCAATAGCCAGCACTGCTTCAGCAGGACTGTCAGCAGATGGGGGACTCACACGCCTCAGACCCAAAGATCAGGACAGGTGTCCCCATGGAACTACAAAGCAAGGACAGAGAACTGCTGAGTTAGAAGCATCCACAGGGGCTTTGGTGCTCCCAGACGGTGGTGATGCAGTCACAGCTAAACAGAAGTCAGCCTTTAAATTACAGAGCAGAGAGCCCACCCGTTCCTCATCTATGCCTAACAGCTGAGCTCACCCTCATGTTATTAAAACCATGACACCACTGTTCCAGGCACGTCTCCTGGAGCCTGGGAGAGCTGAGCAAGCAGAACCCCCCTGGAAAACAGGGCTCAGACCAACAGCCCAATGCTCCAGGAGGAGACTTAGTGCTGGAGCCCGAACATGGGAGCTGTCTGTCTGCCCAGCTTCGCTTTTCCTGGCAAGTGCCCTCACCTTCCCCTCCAATCCAGGGGCTCATGCAGGGAATTGCATCACCAAACCCTGCTCTCTACTCTGAGGGATTTTTCCTAGCCTGGCAACTGGACCAGCTAGCTTTGCATGCTGAAGACCTTCCCCAATCTGACAACCAAGCTACTGCTGTTGCTGGAATGCCCAGGGAGCACGCAGCCCCAGCCCTCTCAGACACATGGGAGCCATGCCCCACTCTCCTCCCTGTACACAATCCAAGCAGCACCATCCCAACCCTCTCCTCCACCAGGCAACTCAACTCTGTGTCACCAGCCACTCCAGCCTTGATCTCCAGATGTGGCTGCCTCACCTCTCCCCTGCCTCGCAATCTGCAGGCATGAGCATCCATAAGTCTTTCCTGCTTATTTGGAGATTGCACGTGCTTCAGCTTTATAAACATGCTTTATAAACAACCATGTCTCTCTGCTGAGGCTGGGCCAATGGTGCCTCTGACTGCTGGGGCTCTCTGCTCCATGGAGGGAGCTTCTCCTTCCCCTCCAGCACCTCCTGGCTGACACATCTGATCGAGGGCTTGGCAGCTGCAGCCTGCGTGCGTTCGTGTGCCTGTGGAGTCACCAGCATACCTGGCAGCAGGCAGGCAGTGCCACCCCAGCATGGCTGGGCAGTGTCAGCAGTCACGCTGCAGCTGCCAGCCTCAAAAGCAGCCCTGGATGAAGCCTCACTGCAGGCGAGGTTTTATTTCCAGGCTGGTTTTGTCAGTAAGGAGGCCTGAGAGAATGTTTTGCCCACCCCCACAGATGTGTTCTCACTGCCCTTTCTTCAAGTTGCAATGAAATTTGATTGAGAGGGTTGCAGTCTCAGCTATATTAAGGTCTCCCTGACTTGTATCCTATATTTCCACAAACGTGGGTAAGCAGAGAGAGGATTGAGACCCCCGTTGCCACACTGGCCTTTGCTCAGCTGCCACCAGGCAGTTACGGCTCTCCAGGGCACGGTTAAGCACGTCCTCCCTCCCCACAGGGGCATTTTTAATCAGAAGCTTCAGCTTGTTCATTTCTCTCTGGGTCACTGCCACCAGTGGGGCCCTCGACCACAAACCATGGCCTCTGTTTTGCAGTGGGAAAAGATGAGGCATCACCCAGCAGGACACGCTCAATCTTAAACGTTGCCACAGCGGAGAAATCGGGAGCAGAAAGATTGAGGACACCAGTGTGATTTCACATGTTTAACCTCCTGATAATTCCCTCTGTCTGTATTACCTCTCAGCTTCCAAATCCTCGGTTTTGTTCAGAGAGAGGGAGATTTCTCTCAAGGTTTTAATTCTTGGGATTAGATTCCTAGGAAATGCCTGTGCAGGTCACACTGATGGGCTGTCTAGCCTGATCCCCCACCGTGGCCATGAGAAAGAGTACACAGAGTCGACCACTCCTAGGGTCTGTCCCCACCATCCTCCCACAGCTCCCATCCTCTCACAATTAGGACTGTGAGAGGGCACTTCCCATCCCTTTGAATATCCCAGTCCTGAGCCTGTTGTCCTCAAATGCCTCTCACCCTGCCTGAGCCTGCTGGGGCTGCCTGCCTCCTTGGGGGTCAGAGAAGGCCAGGTATCCAGGACCTGCTGTGTGAAGAAGACCTGCTTCCTCCTGCAGCTTTTTTCCAAAGAGGTGTAGGAGTTTCAGTGAGTGTCACACAGTGGCCACGTTGCAGGGTTGGGAGAATAACAATTCCCTGTTTGCTGCCTCTGTGGTTTAGCAAACCTCATCTGTATTCCCTGCCAGCCTCTTCCTCTCCAAAAACTGAAGTATTTTCACGTGCCTCAGACATCAAAGGACACAGTTAGGGTTATGGGAGCCTAACCTGCATCCCTGAAGGAGCCAACGTAACCAGATTCAATCCTATACTTGTGTGTTGGTATTCAGGTGACTGCCCCAGGCTGAAGGGAAGAACACATCCAAGGTGACCAGGGAGCTGTGAGAGGATTCAACCTGAAGATCACTGTATAAAACAGTGTGGGTCTGGCATGCACCCATCAACGTCAACCAGGTGACAGCTATGGGTGTAGCACGTGAGTCTGACTGTGGGGACGCAGAAGGTGTTAAGGGAAGTGAAAGGAAGCCCTTCTGAACATTGCTGCAGGACTGGAAGTGTCACATGGTCAACTTGTGCTGGTGTCGTGTGAGCAGTTGCTCACACTTCGTGCAGAGGTCTCACATCACACCCCAGGACTCTCACCGCGTGCAGCCTGACATTTCTAGAGCTGGAGATACTGTTTGGGTCTCCAGGTGGGTTACGTGAGGCAATTATGAGTCTCTAAGCCGGCTAGACTTCTACAACAATGAAAGGCAAGAAAAAAAAATAATCAGTAGCTCATTGGCTTTCCCCCATACCTCGGGCCTTTGAAGGGACAGAGGTCACTTCACAGTGATCCTTTCCTGGACAGTCTTCAAAAGTTTGTGTTCCTCCTTGATGAGTTCAGCCCTGCTGCGGTGATGTCCTTGATATGGAGAAAATTCTATCACTAGGAAACCTCTTTTTCCAGGATGTTTAAACAAAGGTGTTTCAAGTGTATGCAGGGCATGGAAGAGAAGGGAAAGGAGAGGAGTTTATGCAGGGATGGTATGAGAGATTTACCCTGGCAGTGAAAGTAAATGTGCATGACACAGCTGAGGGCAAGCATGTGTGTTAACAGACAAACAGCCCCAGGAACACAAAATAAGATGAAAAGGGAGCTAAAGAATATAAACACCAGGGAGTTCACAGCTCTCAAAGACATGATGTGATCCTATTGCAACCGCTCCACCAGCTGCCCCTCGGTGGCCCTGCCGTGGGCTGCTGTGCACAGCCCTTCCTGGGACAGTTTACAGAGGGGGAAAACACAGGTGGGACAAGGGACAGGACGTGGACCAAGCAGTACAGCTGTGTTAACTCCTTTAGAGGTAACTGGGGTGAGACACAAACACGCAGCATTGACTATCAGCCTTGTCAGCTGCCCCCATGACATTCACCTCCTTCCCCCGCGAAAGTTAAAAGAACAGGTCTGAACATAGGCAGTGCTGAGACCAGAACACCCTCCCAAAGATGGGGAGCAAGGCTGAGAATACGGCTCCCACTTCCCTGGTCCCTGGCCATCCTGCCCAGACTCCCACAGCACTGTTACTCAGGAGCCAGCTCGTCCCTTTCTCTTCCACTCCCCATTATGTGAATCAACTCTTGTTACTCCTCTGACCATCTCTGCTTCCCAGCACAGTCAGTGAGCCATCACAGTCCCTTTTGAAGGCCAGGCAGCTCTCACAGCAGTAAATATCAGTGTAGAAAACAACAGGAAGTTTATTCTTTGCCCCCAAGAAACATCCACACAGTTTCTGTGCTGCCCCTGCAATAACAAGGAACACCTGTTTATGCTTTTCTCTGTGTGAATTGAAGAGGCTGCAGTACCCGGGGCTCAGCCCCAGATCCCAAGAGCTGTGATCAGCAGAACCCCCCTAGGTCTGCTGGCACCAGGCTGGCAGATTCAGGCCTCCCTGGGAACTCACAAGTGCCTGACCCCGAGGATCTCAGTGGCTCCAACAGTGAAAGGTCTTAAAAACACTTGCAATCAGACCTATGGTCAGGATGCTGCACTTGGGAAAGCTTAGGAAAGAAACCAACCTAGAGGCATGTCCAAACTATACTAAAAACCCCAAAACTTTTGTAATGCGTCAAGCTCTAAATTAGCTATCTCTCCAGCTCAAAGCGCGTGAAATCCTCTCCTGTCCTTGGAAGGGGAGCACCCTGGGGAGAAGCAGATCAAGAAACCCTTAGAAGCAGTAAGGAAGCCTCAGCAGGCTGCCAGCAGCAGGGATCTAGCTTCAAGGGCACGAAACTTTACCGCCTGGGGTAAAACAGCGAGCCTCAGCCTGGGGGCAGTGGTCAAAACGAGTGATGTTCTCCTGTGCCTAGCTGCTAGATCAGAAGTGGGATGGGAGCTGTCAGAGTGTGTGCTACGCTTGCAATGACTATCAACCTGTCCAGGATGAGCCCAGGCTTCTCTAAAGGTTTTGGACAAAGGACACCACTAAGCTAATGAGCTGCTGGCCCAGCTGCCAGCATCTTCAGTGGAGAGAGGTTTTCAGTATAGACACACAGCACTCCCAGTTCATAACCATAAGGACACACGCCCTTTTCCTTGACATAGATTTGTATCCTGAAGCTGAGGAGATTTGCAAACCAAAACAACCCCGGCACTTTTGCCTGCCTCCATGAAGCACGTGGTTGATGGCCAGCAGCATATCAGACCGGCAGAGCAGGGAAAGCTGTCATTACCTGGTGTCCAAACAACTCATGATCTAACCTGCTTGTGCTCACCAGGATTCGGGCTGCTGCAAAATGTAAGCCCACAACCTCAGCCAAAACTGAGGAACTTGAAGCAACTTGGGAAACTCAGGAGCGGCAGAAAACCTGGGGGCAGAGCAGAAACATTAACTACAGTTCACCTTGCCCACGTGCAGAATCACTCACACCCCAAGTGTCCCTGCTGAAGCCCAGGGGCCCCAATGAGCAGCTCAAGGGAGGCAGAACCATGCATTCATGTGCAGATGCAGTTCCGAGAGAGACACCACCACCACAGAGAAGATGGCAGGAATAAGGCAGAAAAAACATTTTTCATGGCCTTGACAGTGACCCAGAGTCCCACCATAGGAGAAATTGCTTTGAAAAGCACTCTCGTTGGGGATTTATGGGTGAACATGGCTGTATATTTTATAGTACATTCTTATGGCCTCATCGGTCAATAATCTGCATTTAACTCAGTCCCTTCAGAGTGTGATGGGCCATAACGCTTGTGAAGCAGCTGCTACATGCTGAAATAATAATCAAGGAAGCAGAGGGCAGAGCTGATAATTGACTCTGCTAATGTGCAAGTCGGGACTTTGAGTTATTGATCAGATGTGCTTCGGTGGCTCAGCAAGAGCCCAATCCTCTATGCCTGGAGGTATCGACTCGGATGTTACCAAGAAGGGGGTACTCTCTTCTCTCCACATACTGATTTTCTGGATCATCTCCTATTCTGAATTTCCTTCAGCATTTCATCTGGGACTGGTCTAGGATAGACCCCTGAAATTGCCTGACAAAGCAGCTTTGTCCCTGCTGCCAGCCTGCTTGTGTCCCACACACCCAGATCTTCAGTATCAGGGACATAAACACACAACGCTGAGGAGACAACGACTTTCACCCCTCAGTACCTCTTTATGGCACCATCCTTGGCACAGGAACCCCTTCCTGTCAGCTCCTTTTCTTTCTGCCCTCCAGCTGAATCCCTTGCTTCCTCCTTCAGGTCTTCCACCTGCCTCTCCTCCTCCTTGAGCCTCACTGCAGCTTCAGCACATTTCTGCCTGTCCCCAGAGGTTACCATGGCAGATCAAGGCACGTCACTGGCACCCCATCCCATGCCACCGCTAACCACCTGCTCACCCACATCCTAGCGGGTGTCAGAGCCACAGAGATAAGCCACTTCCTCCACTGTTAGCCGGATGCCTGCAGCCACGTCTTGAACGTGAACTTGCGCAAAGCCTGCCAAAAAAGGTAAATAAATTATGTCAGAGGGGTCTTCCTTTTCAGCTAATTCACCGGTTTCTTCAAAGACTTGCAAGAATTCGGGAGATGTGGGTTCCTTCTGCAGAATCTCTGCAGGTTGCACGTCTGAGCAGTGTTACCCATGTAAGCTTCGTGGCCAATTCTAATTTGCTAGGCACTGCATTCATTTGCATGCATGTCAAACAGGCCTGTAATTCACCACATCATCCCAAGAGCTGTTAAAATGTGAGTAAGACATTCTCCATCCTTATCAGACACTGCTTTTTCTTTTTATTTTTTCCTTTTTTTTTCTCAAATTTTTTTTTTGGGGGGGGGGCTCTTTTTTCGTCAGTGAGAGAAATATTTCTTTCAGAGATGTGCCCCTTCCATCCCCATCTTCCCCAAGACCTCTTGTCTGTAAACCATCATGACCTGGAAGCTTAATGAGACTTACACAGTCTGGTTGTCCCAGCTGCTCCTCTCTCAGTCTCTGATGCTATTTTCTCTTGGTCCAGAAAAGGGCAAGATCTGCGTGAGCCCCTCCAGAGCCATCTTTGTAGTGGAAACAGATGTGAAGGAATTATTCAGCCCTTCAAGAACATATTTAGTTTCCTTAATTGCTCTCTTTTAAGTACAGGTGACTCAGTGCTCAAATATTTAAGCAGACCTCGCAGTGTGGGTTACTTGGAAAATCAGTGCTTTTACACCTCTAGGCTCCTGCATGCTTAAACCCATTTTGATCTTCTAAGACTGGGAAAAATGTTGTCCAGTGAAGAGCATCAAGAGCTTAGTCCGTGTTGTCCAAAAAACAGTTGTGAGATGCTTTGAGCAACTACTACTTTCACAACAGTCTTTAAAAAAAGTAAAAAATCTAGCTGCAGAGTCCAAAAGTTGTTTCCATCAAGCAATAGATGTCCAGTGGGTTCTGCTTCCCCTCTGTCTTGCAGGAGAGGAGAAGGATAGCTTCACATTCAACCACAACCTGCCAGATGCTGTGGGACGTGCAAGTGTTCCCACAGCACTACGTGGCCCTTCTCATTTTCCAGGTTGTCTTTCTGGCCAAATGTATCTATTGCCAGATGTTGCTCACCTTGCTGAGTCTGCAGCTCATGCAGCTGCCAGATTTTCACAGGGGTTCAGGGTTTTTATCAAGAGTAGCAAAAACTTGACGAGACACTTGCAGGTTCGCCGTGGCTGAAAGGGTGCTGAGTTGCAGCAAGGGAAACAGGAAGGTTCGTGTTCAGCTCACTCCCAGGATGCATGAAAAGCTAAGAAATGGCCAGGCAGGCAGGCAAGTGATGGCTTTATAAGGAGACTCGGGATGCAACTCAGAGGTGGGGAAGATTTTGAAAAGAAAAGAAAAATGGCATTGTACAAGAATCAAGGAAAATGCTTTCCAAATGTTTCTGCCAGCTGGACAGAACCTTGCCTGGAAGATGTGTACTCACAGGGCCTGCCGTGGCAGGCAGCAGATCTGCAAGGCAGGAGCCACAGTGTGGGTGTTGTTGGCCTCCCCCAGCCCCAGGCCTCAGCACTTCCCACCAGAAAGGAGAAGCTGCTTCTCTGCAGGGGTGGGAGGTGACACGTCACAGCACCTTGGGGTTCCTGTTGCATCACAGACTTCCTGACCCCCACTGCAATAGCTTTGTCCTCCCTCAGCGTGCAAACAACCCCTGCCGCCTGGGCTGGCCCCCTGTCCCTGTGGGGATGTGCAGGCCCTGCAGCGTGGCAGGCAGCCAAGCTGAGCAGTGTCCCCACAGTAACACAGACCCAGCAGACAAACCATCTGCTCCCTGGGGCTCTCCTGACTTTGGCTGCACGGAGGGACTCAAGGACCAGGGGGTCCCGATGGACAGGCTGGCAGTGCCCCACTGCAGTGACAAAGGAAAATTGGATCAGGGGCTGCATCCACAGGGACACTGCTAGCAAAAATAGAAATGTGATCATGCCACTCTGCTCAGTGCTTTTCAGGCCACATCCAGCCATGCTGTAGCCAGTTCTGGTCCCCATGACTCAAAAAAAGACATGAACAGACTGGAAAGGGACCAAAGGAGGGCCACAAAGATGATCAAAGTGCTGGAGATCCTACCATATGAGGAAAACACGAAGTAATTAGATCTTTTCCCCCTGGAAAAGGCTCAGGAGGGGACTTCATCACAGTTTTCCAGTACCTAAAGGGTTGCTCCAAATTAAACAGAGGTTCTCTCTTCATAAGGAGCCACATGGAGAGGACAGGGGCAATGGTACAAGTTGCACAAGGTGAGATTTCATTTTGATATAATAAATACATTTTTTACGGTGAGAGCAGTCAATCACTGGAACAACCTCTCCAGGGAGGTAGTGGAGCCCTCACCACTGGAAGTTTCCCAGACATGACTGGACAGGGTGCTAGATAATCTCATCTACTCTCTCTTTCCCATGGAATGTTGAACCAGATGATCTTTCAAGGTCTCTTCCAACCTGGGCTGTCCTGTGCTTCTGAGACTAGCTCCATCTCCAGACCCCAGCTTCCCTCCAGGGCCTCACCCCTCCTGGCCCCTGTGCATCCCCATTTACAGGCAATTCCCCTGTTACCCAGGGAATGTGCCTCCAGCCATCCCTTCCAGGATCCCCTCTCCTGCCTCTTACCAGAAGGAATCATGACTCTACCATGACCAGACAGCATATGCCCTTGACAGGAGAAGCATTCTCTCTGTTTGCAGACTCCTTGCTGCTTCTTTTCTTTTGCAGAAGGATTTGTTCCCTTGCTTCTCCTCCCATCTCCTCCTGAAAAAGCAGAGAATAAAAAGGGAGACAACCCTGCCACTTTGTTGTCACTAGTCAGAAGGGTGGAGGGAATGGAAGAGGATGTATTTAAGAACATACCTGAAGGATTTGGGATATTACACTCACATACCCATTCACCTCTTGGATACAGACTCTGTGTCATTTATCCTAATCTGTCCCTTTGCACTTCACAGTAATCACCTTTCACCACGAGATCACACAACTCTTATACCCACAGCAGCACACAAATCACCAGACCCAACCCTGTCCCAAAGAAATCACAGCTAATCTACTTATTGTAGAGTAACACAATGACCCTTTGACCAAACAGAGCCAGGGAAGTGCTTTAGAAAGAGAGCTGCAAAACATGCACAACATGGAAACATGGGCTCCAGCTACAGGGCAGCTCCCAGTGTTGGAGTGATGGTGTTGATAGTTATCCAGAGGTTTCACCATATGTGTGTGCACACATTTCTATTGCCCACAATGGCCTGCCTGAATTTGGAAATAGCTCCCCTACAGCTCAGCAGGGAACATTTCTACGCTGGAGCTTCTGACCTCCATGATATCAACAGGGACCGGATCTAGGGATATTGCTCTAGATCCTTCATCCCATGCCATGGCTTCTGCAAACGGGATGGAGGTGGAAATGTCTGATCCAAACCCGAACCAATTGCCACGAAGTTTTTGGTCCTAATCCATTACTAAATGCTGGAAAGTTCAGAGTGCCTCACAAGCCTGCTAATGAAGAAAGTGGAGTAGGGAGAGAAGTACGAACCCCATTTCTGTGCCAAAAGTGAATTCAGTTTTGTAGAGAAACGGCATATTCAATACAGCGCGTCCAGTGATCATCAGTTCCAGTCTGCTCTTTTCCTTCCCTTAACAGGATTTTCCCAGCACTACTTACCTCATCAGCCTTTCATTGCTACTAAGCCAGGAATCCCAGACAATCTGTCCCACTGCCTCCAAACAACTTTCTGTCTATCACTAACAGGCCTGCAGCATCCATATGTCCTGCAGCCTTCACTGCTATCAACAGTCTTAATCTTCCTTATCACCAGTTATCCAAATATCCAAGGCAGAAATAGATGCTAAATTTCAGATCATTAGCAGAAAACAGAACCAATTATGGAAAAAATAGCCAAGAGTAAGAGATCTCACACTGGATTAAAAATAGATTGTTTTTATCCATTCTCATGACTTCAAGTGGGCGTGCAGAACAGCAGGCTTTGCAAGCTCAGAGGGGAAATGTGCCTGGCTGGGGGGCCAGAAGAGCTGGTTTGGGTGGGGATGTACCCCTCTGGTTCAGGTCTGAAGTGTGGAGGAAGGTTTGCACAGCACCACAGCTTGTCCCAGGGGCCTGGGATGCCTCCTGGGGCCACCAGGGCAAGCCTGGCTGGAGAGTGGGCAGGGTGAGCCTCTGCGCTGGGTGGCCGCCACCACTGAGCATGCAGGAGCACAGGTCTCAGGAGGCAGCAAAAGGGTGTTGAAAGTTGCTTTCCCCATGCAAATCTGTTCAACACTTTGTACTCTGACATAGGTCACGGCCTCCTCAGGGACTCGAAATCCTCTGAGGAGAAAGACTGTCCATCAGGCTCCCCTCGCTGGTTTTGCTGAAGGAATGTAATTGCCTTCGACAGCATCCTTTCCTCACACAGTAAAGAGCTTGGAGCTGGAAGGATAGACATAACTTCTGCCATCCCTGGTGTGCACCTTTGATGGTACCAGCGTGGAAGACACTGACAAAACAAAAAATCTGCCCCAAAGCAGGGAGGAGGAGATGCCTGCAAAGCGAGTGTGGCTCTCAGCAAGCACTGAGGAACAACCAAATCTCCGGGAGATGAAGCGAGTCTTCCAGAGGAAATTTTGAGAAAGAACATCTTCCAGCTGTAAGGGAAAACTGAAGCCCAGCAGTGTTAGGGGACAGTTTCAGCTCCTGCTGCCCCCCCTCCTAAAGACTTGGGCTCCAGCAGCAGCTTCACCATCAGTGACCATCAGCACCCCAGTGCATCCAAGAACCCCCTGCAGCCACGGCACTGGTGGGAGACAAGCAGGGGAAGATTGTTCATCTGGACTCAAGCAAGTCAATAGATTCCATGTTTGAACACTACATTAAGATGGATGGTTTAAATGCCTTGAGAGTTTATTTTGGCTGGGACAAGCACAAGGGCTGAGAGAAAGGGAACAAGAAAACTAGATACAATTTCCATGAGGATTATTTGTTCTTCACCATCTCAAGAGACTCCCAAAGCACTATTATCACTAGGCTTAAGTTCATTTTTTTGGGCTCTATAGTGCTGCTGGGAAATGCTTGGGAGGGGTCAACAAATACACACCTCCTCAAATAAAGAGCAGGAAGACAATGTGAAATAAAGAGGGAATAAGAACATGGAAAGTTTGCATAAAGAAGAGTAGCCACAGCTTGGCTACACAAGAGCTTCATCTGTTCCAAGTACAGTAAATGGAAATAAAACTTTGAGTCAAACCTTATTTGTCCTATTAATTCAGCTGAGCATGAAGTCACAACAGAGAGGGGGGAAAAAAGATATTCAAAATAATCTTAAATAGCTTAAACTAAAACCAATCATTTACCAGCACACAGTCACAATAAAAGCAATTAGCATGCAAAATATTAAGAACCTATCCTGTCTTTAAAATATCTATGGGCCACAAATAGAGGTGCACAAAAGACAGATTATGAGCAAATCTCAACTTCTTATGCCATCAATTCTCAAGTTAATTATCTGATAATCACCATGGCATTCATTTACAGAATAAATATCCCATTTAAAATTAAATCTGCACGTAAATAGAAAAAAAGTTAATTAACAAAACAATAAAGTACCCAGCAATGTAAATGCTCTGCTGACTCCACTCCCTGGTAGTAGCAAGAGTCTGATGGAACTTTGTGCTGAACTCTCAGATTGAGGCACTGGGGCCTATACTTTTGGCAGCAATGCAACACATGCTGTCATAAAAAAATAAGTTGCAAGTTT